TAAGTGAAGGAATCTAGAGGTCATCTTGCTGGGTAAGATAAACTAGATTTAGAAGGACAGATGTCACATGTTTTCCCTAATATGGAATCTAAAAAAGATGACAAGAAAGTTGAAGGGAAACAATTATTGGACAAGAGGAGGGGAAGAAGCTGGAAAGGGGTGGAAGGGCGATTAATACGGGGCATGAATATGATCAAAACACATTGTCCACATTGACCCTCCCCCATTTGAAACTCGGGGGAGGATGGGGTAAGGCGATGTTGGGGGGTAGAAAAAGATTAAGGTATTTGTGTGCATGTACAAAATCTGTCAAAATAAAGCCAGGTATTGTGGTTCATGTCTAATCCCAGCATTTAGAAGGCTGGAGGATCACCATGAGTTTAAGATCAGTTTAAGCTACATTGTGAATTCAAGGCCATCCTGAACTTCGCAGTGAGTCTCTGTGTCAAACAAAACAAATCTGCCAAAATAAAATAAAAATCCATTAATCTGTATGGCTAATATAAACTAATAAAAAATGTGGGGGCAAAGAAAAAGAAGGCAAGGTGAATGTAGTTGCATGCCTATAATCTTAGCTATTTGGTAAGCTGAGGCAGGAAGCTGGTCAGTTTAGGTAGACTTTATCTCAGAATAAAAAGACTGGGATAGTTACTGAGGGCAGAATGCTTGCCTAGCATTTACAACATCCCAGGTTAAATCTCCAATAAACCCACCCCCCAAATTGAAGATAATAAAGTAGAGACAGCTATGTTAAGGATTCTTAGTACCACACCCATGTTAGAAGATTTGCTAGAAGTACTGAAGAGCCTTTGTTAACAGTTGTACTAAATAGTTCCTGTTTATTACAAAGATGTACTAAGGTTCTACAGCTGGGTCATAAGGCTGGTGGAGTCTGGAGGAGTCCATGTGCAGGGTTTCTTGTGCTCTCTCCTCATGAGGATTTTTGTCAGTCTTACTTCAGCAACATGCATATGATATTGCTGCCCAGGGAAGCTCATTAGATTTTCATTGAGGGAGAGTAAAGGTGACTGCTTGTTGCAGACCATACAAAAAGCTTTTTAATGTGGTATAAAATCAACCATTTTATTAGTTGTAGGTAAGAAGCTCATGTAATCAGTGAAGTTGAAAGCAAAGGTTGGCAAATAAATGATAGAAAAACCTTTGAGGAGATGAAATGGAAAGGAGGTCAAGAGCAGTTACGGAAATAAGTTTTCAGCAAGAGAAGGGAAATAATCATTCTTAGCACTGAGGATGCTCCCCCCCACTGTAAATTTCAGCTGACTATGTGTATGAGTAGGGAAGACTAATTATTCATGTTTGGATATTTAGTATGAGTGTGGTGCCAGGACAATATGGTAAGGGGTGCTGAAGATTTTGGGGAGAAAATTTAAGTGATCAGTCAGAGGATCTAGGTTGAATAATAAGTGATATCAGCATGAGGGGATTGTTAGATTATGAAAAGGAAGGAATGAAGGGACTTGGTAAAATTGAAAATAGAGTAAAATAATTAAGATATCTAATAAGAGGTCAAAGTACACATGCTGGCTTTGGAGGGTAGTGGGGACTCAGTGTGATATGAATTGAACAAACAATGTTGGGGTGGTCTAGAATGATTATAGTATGGCCTTGGAACAGGTTGTTCAAGTTGGTCGAAAACAAAGGGCATTGAAAATGACTTTACTGAACTGTGAAGTCTAGCTTGTTTGATGGGTCAAGCTGTCTCACTGGATGTTGATGTTACCGGTAACATTTTCAATAGTAGTTAAAATGATGAGAAAACCTGATTGCTTTTGATGAATGTGGGGCAGTATCCTTTAATATTTGATGGATAGAGGATTTTATTAGTTTAGACTCTGGTTGGAAGTAGGGACTAACTCAGACCACTTCAGTAATATGAGAATTTATCAGGAGTAAATGGGTGGAGCTCAAGCACAGGAATGTAGTCAGACTTCACCACAGTACTAGAGCCTAGACCTAGAAAATTACCTAGAACCTAGTTGCTATTATTTCTTCTTCTTTTTTTTAAAATCTCTGCTCTTTTTACTGTATCTCAAGACTAGTTCATTCTGATTGCTTATTTATCTGGAAAATTATAACTGTATGAAAGCTTTTTAACCTGTAATGTTATAATTTTAACAGATTTAATTACTCTACTTGATTCTGAATTCCATTTCCAGATTACCAGGAGAGAGAATGGATCCATATTGAGTTAGGAGTTCACCCATACTCTTATCAACATTGGCTGCAGTGGGATGTTATCTTGTAATGTCATGTAACACAGCTGTTATGACCCCATGTTTAGGTTCAGAGCGTAGCTCTTAAGAGAGTTATTATGCCACTGACCACAGTGAATGTCTGTGTTACCATACCTGAGTGATATAGTAGAATGGAGCTAGCCTAAGTGGAAAAAGACCTTCTAAAAGAGCTTAGGAAAGTGGTGAGGATTTAGTAGAGCACTTCACACTACCCTAGTGGGCAGTGCAAGAAAGTAGCTTGAAGAAAGAAGTGGTCTTGGGGAGAGCTAGGTTTTTGTTGAGATATAGTCGAACATTCAACAAAAAGTTGATCGTGTAGGGGATAGTTATTTATGAGGAAAAGATTCCAAAGTTTACATTAAAACTTTTTGGGAAGAGGTCCGGGGATTTAGCTTAGTGGTGCCACGCCCCCTGCCTCGCAAGTGCAAAGACCCAAGTTTGATCCCTGGTACCAAAAAAAAAAAAATTACGACCATAAATTTTTTGGGAAGGTGATCAGTGATCAAATAAAGCACGGATAGAGGCCCAAAAACAGAGAGGACAAAAACATCAAATAGGAAAAGTGACTAGATGGTTGAATCATGGGTGATGTCAACAGTAGTTGACATATGGTGACAGGAACAAGAAGCCTAGATGTAATTAACTGGTAGATAATTTACTATAAAGCTTTCATTTACATTTCCATCTGGGGTTAAAGATTGTTCATAGAGGTGAGCCAGTTAATTTTATGTAATGAACATCTTTTGGCATAATGGAGCTAATTTTGATTTGAGTCTTCTTTTGTTAAGTAACTTCTTATTTTGATATAATTATGATTTGAAGTAATGGACTTCTTATAGTGAATTCTGGCAGTTCTGTTCAGGTTTATAACTGTACAGTGCTTGATGCCTTACATTTTTAAGACACTATTCATCTTTTCAAGACTTGACATTACTGAATTAAGTGTGGCTTACCATTAGGGACAGAAAGGTGGATCATTGTTGGCTGGAAGGACTTAGGGACTCTTCTAGTGATGACAAGGATGTATGTGGACTACATAGTACATGTTCTTGTTTTTCTCTTTTCCACATGGCTTGAGTTGCCAAGTCTTTCCCTAAAGGGTGATGTTTGCAGATTTAGACCATGTTTTTATTTTTTAATTACATTAACAGCTAGAAGTGTTTTATAGATTTTTTTCCTGAGACTTATGCCAGCTGTCTTTGGGGTTTGAAAGTAATTATAGTATAAATTGAGACTATTGTTTTAGTCTTTAAAATTTCCAGAAGTGTTTTTTGTTTGACATGTAAATTCTCCTTCCATCTGTTTCAGTTCTCTGTAATATTTCAAAAATATGCTTGCTGTGAAATAAGATACTTTATGTAAATCTGAGCTAAAGAATTTAGAGTAAAAACTTAGTAATTTGTAATGCTACTGTTTGTGTTGATGTGTCCAGTGACTGTGTTTTAGCTACTTTGCCCACTGTTATACTCAACTCTTTATAGTTTACAAAAGGGTAGACTTTGGGTATGATTCCCCATGAATTCTGTACTCTACCAGTGACTTTTCTGCCTCCAAATGGTGAATGATGTAAGTGCTGACCCAGGATCAAATTTTGTCATTTACCCCTTGAATAAATAAAATCTTTATGCTTCATTTATTCATATGTGAAGTAAATATAACACAATCTACTTTTCATAGTTGTTGCAAGGGTTAGAGACAATGTTTGTGAAATGCAAATACCCTGCTTGGCTCTCAGTAGTTGTAGATAAATTATAATTACAGTACTTTATGATTACTGAACATTGCCTCTAGAGGGATTTGACTACATGCTGCAAATACTGTACTAGGCTGTGTATGTGCATTGTCAAATAGTATTTTGGATTAGGAAAACTAATATATAATTCCAGGGGAGTTTATAGAGCTTCTTGGAGCAGATCATTTCTGTTTCAGGTATTGATTCACTCAGATTTGTGAAACTAAACCAGTGTATCTCTTCTTTGTAAAGGGATTTGACCTATAATAAAGTGTTTTCTTTTTCTTTTTTTTTAAAGGGTGCTATTTTCTTGGAAGGTATAACTGTGAAAGGTGTCACTCAAGTAACAACTCAACCAAAGTTAGGAGAAGTACAGCAGAAGTGTCATCAGTTCTGTGGCTGGGAAGGGTAATAAAGATTTTAAAGTTTTAAATAAATCTTATTACTCTGCAAAACTTAAGATTTGTGTAGACATTGACATATCTTCTTTGCTTCTTAAAGTTTTTATGTTTATATAGAGTGCTTAAAAATGTCAGACTTTTTAAAGATAATCTGCGTAATAATGAACTGAGTCAAAATTAGATGACTCACTTAGTTTCCTAAAGCTATACAAAATTACTTTTGTCACTATCTAATATTTATTTTATGTCTTTGATTCCACTGCTGCTGATTAATGTTTAGTCTGGCCTTAACAGTTTATTCAGGAAGAGGAGGTGAAACTTGAATTTGCCTTATTTTCTAGTGTTTGTGTAATCTAGAGCCTGGGAAAGTCAGCTTTAAGTATATTATGCTCTATACCATGTCTTGAAAATACTTAGATGACTTTTCATGGGAAAGGATGTGGGTGAGAGTGTCTTGGTCTGTCCGGAAAATTATAACTCAAATACAAGACCAGGAATAAATTATTTCTTGATGTTTTCACGTACAAATTCCTAATAAAGAACTTAGCTAGAAAATTAGAAATTAGAAATTAGCTAGGAAAAATTTTAACTAAAAGATGAAAAATAAGGAAGAAATGATATTGGCCGTAATAAAAAAAATATTGGCCAAAATGTTGTATGATACCCTTGCCAATATAACTTAAGGCTACCCTACTTCTCCTGTTTTGTCGCTTTTGGGCATGTTTGAAATGAAAATTTGCCAGCTTTGTACGATTATGTCATGGAAAAATATAGGGTCTGTGATACTGTAAGATGGTTAAACTAAGATTTAAACTTCTTCCTGATGTTAAAGACTTGTAAGCATATCTGCTTTACTATTTATTATGGGCATAATGATGTTTTTAAATTAGTCCAACAGTTAAAGTATTGTAGTGGCACGTTAGAACTCTGTAAGCTTATGGTCTAAAATGTCAAGACAACAACAATCTTCTGTTGACATTTTTGTGAAAACTGACATTATTCCTGTTGAAATTAATCTCATGACGGGGAGAACACTGATAAATGCATGACTTATTGGAGACTGGTTCAAGATACATGTTGCTTTCTATGGATATCATAATAGTAATAAAGTGTTATTTTTTAAGGTCTGGATTTCCTGGAGCACAGCCTGTTTCAATGGACAAGCAAAATATTAAACTTTTAGAGCAGAACCCATATAAAGTAAGCTGGAAAGCAGATGGTACTCGGTGAGTGAGAGTTTAAAAATAATTTATACAAGTAATCCTATTGCTTGAAGAATATTGTGTGTTAGGGAGAATTTGCACTCTTGAGCATAAGAATTTCAGACTTAAACAAATGAAAGAAGCATCTTTCCAAAAATTGCATAGTTTTTGTTATGTATTCTTGGCTAATAGAGTAATATAGTTCTTTCTCATTCTAAGTTTTTGGTTCTAGAGTTTGACAAATCTATACTAGATGTTAAGTATGTTAAGTTTGGAAACATTTCTCTTAATATAGTTATTGCTACTGTCTGCTATCTTGTCTTTAATGGTCATGGTATTTGTCTAAAGTTAGTAGTTAGGTTGTTAGTTTATAATCTAAAAATGATCAGCTCTCCCTGATTCATTCTGTATTTTGTTTAAATTGTTTTCCTTTTTCTCTTAATTTAGGTTTTTTATTGTTACATTTTAGATATGCATCATGATAACATTCATCATAGGGAATTTATACCTGTGCACAATATATCTTGTTCCTTCTTTTTTCCCCATCTTTTTTCTCTTAATTTTTACCAACACTTTTTTTGTATTTTTATGTGCTATTAAGGTTTTTGTATTCTTAGATTCAAACTTCATATATCTAAGTTTTAAAATAGTAATTATATCAACAGCTATTAATGTAATATAAATTCTATACAATTTTCATAATGAAATGAAGAATAATTAGTACAAGTATCTATTTTATAATATAGGTTTGAGGAGAATATCGGTTGTATTAAATTTTTATGAAGTTTTTAAATGTGAAAGAGGCAGTTATAACCTTTGTATCATTCTTCATCTACATTTAACTTGTGACCCTAAATGATACATATGGAGTATGGAGACACAAAGTGGGGCAGATTGTATGTATGTTCATACAGATAATGAGTTTATAGCTAGCAGAGTCCAAGTTAAACTCCTTTCTTATTTGCAGGTCCTCTGTCTAACAGTGAAAAGCTTGGTTTTCATTATCCATACTGTTTACTAGAACATGCACAAAATAGTTTTGGAATTGTTGTTTCAAACCTTTGTGAGAAAACCACTTGAATAGAATATATTTTTGTATAGTTGAGACTGATGTTAACTTGGTGTATATATAGCCAAAGAGTGCTATGTCCCAGTGTTACCAAGATTATTTTCTTTCCCCACCAGTCCTTTTGCTTTATTTTTCATGTATAATACAATTAGTTTTATTTGTTTCTGTATGTGTTCATTTTCATCCTTTGTGGGTATTAGTTTTTTGTTTTCCTGAGTTTGTGAAAAATTGACATGGTTGCAAGAGTCAAAACTACACAAAATTGTATATTTTGAAAAATGTCTGGTTCTGTCTTTTCATTCTGTTCTTACCTACTTCTTGTAAGTAACCACTCTCTTTAGTTTTCTGGTTTATCCTGTTTCTTTTTATTCTTATGAGCAGATAGTTGTATATTTTTCTCTTTCCTCCTTATAGGAACGATAACTGTGTTAGCTTTCCATTACTATAACAAAATACCTGCGAAAAGTAAACTATAAAGAGAAAAGGGATATTTTGGCTCATGGAGGTTCCACAGTATGATCCCTCCATGATTGACTGGCCCTGTTGTTTTGGTCTGTGGTGAGGCAGCACATCATGGCAAGAGTCAGTATCTCACCATATAGCTCAGGTTGGCCATAGCAAAACTGCTTTTTTCCCACATTGTAGATTGTCTCTTAGTTCTGCTAATGGTTTCTTTTGAAGTACAGAAGCTTTTTAGTAAGATGAGATCCCAGTTATTGATTCTATCTGCTAGTTCCCGTGCTACTGAGGATTTGTTCATAAAGTATTTTCCTATACCAATGTCTTCCAGAGTTCTGCCTAACTTACCTTCCAGCAAGTTTAATGTTTCTGCTTTAATATTTAGATCTTTAATCCATTTGGATTTTAATTTAGTTCATGGTGAAAGATAAGGGTCTAGTTTTAATCTGTGGCAGGTTGAAATCCAGTTTTTCCAACACCATTTATTAAAGAGGCTATCTTTCCTCCACTGAGGATGGTCAGCTCCTTTGTCAAAGATGAGGTAGCTGAGTACATCTGGATTTGTTTTTGTGTCTTTCAGTCTGTTCCACTGATCCTCAGGCCTGTTTCTTTGGCAGTATACCATGCTGTTTTTATCACAGTGGCTTTGTAGTATAGTTTCAAATTGCGAATTGTTATACCCGGTGCCATGTGTCTGTTGCCTAAGATGTCTTTTGCTCTTCTAGGTCTCTTATGGTTCCAAATGAATTTTTGGATTCTTTTTTCTAGTTCTGTGAAATATAGTGTTGGAATTTCAATTGGCATTGCATTGAATGCATATAGCAGTTTTGGTAGTATGGCCATTTTCACCATGTTGATTCTTCCTACCCAGGAGCAGGGGATATCTTTCCATTTTTTTATATCCTCTTGAATTTCTTTTTTCAGAGTGCTATAGTTTTCAGTGTAGAGATCTTTTGCTTCTTTTGTTAGATTGATTCCTAGATACTTTATTATTTTGGGTGCTATTGTGAAAGGAATTGCTTCCCTAATTTCTCTCTCAGTGAGTTTGTTATTTGTGTACAAGAAGGCTATTGATTTTTGGGTGTTGACCTTGTATCCAGCTACTCTGCTAAAAGTATCAATTACGTCTAGAAGTCTTTTGGTGGAGTTTTTTGGGTCTTCAATGTAGAGTATCATATTGTCAGCAAATAATGACAGTTTAGCTTCTTCCTTTCCTATCTTTGTTGCTTTAATTTCTTTCTCTTGCCTAATTGCTGTGGCTAATGTTTCCAGAACTATATCAAAGAGGAGTGGTGATAGTGGGCATCTTTGTCTTGTTCCTGATTTTAAGGTGAAGGTTTTCAGTTTTTGGCCATTTAATATGATGTTGGCTGTTGGTTTTTCATAGATAGCCTTTATTAAGTTGAGGTATAGAGCATCTATTCCAATTTTTTTCAGGGTTTTTATCATGAATGGGTGTTGAATTTTATCAAATGCTTTTTCTGCATCTATTGAGAGGATCATATGGTTTTTGTCCTTGACTTTGTTAATATAATGTATTACATTTACTGAATTTCATATGTTGAACCACCCTTGCATCCCTGGAATAAATCCGACTTGGTCAGGATGGATGATCTTCTTAATAATCCTCTGTATTCTGTTTGCTATATCTTATTAAGGATTTTTGCATCTGTATTCATTAAGGAGATTGGTCTGTAGTTCTCCTTTTTAGTTGCATCTTTCCCTGGTTTGGGAATCAAAGTGGTACTTGCTTCCAGGAATGAATTTGGAAGTATAGCTTCCCTTTCAATTTTATTGAAACGTTTGAAGAGTAATGGCAGTAGTTCTTCTCTAAATGTCTTGTAAAATTCAGCAGTGAATCCATCAGGGCCTGGGCTTTTCTTTGTTGGTAAATTTTTAATTACATTTTCAATTTCACTGACTGTTATTGGGGTGTTTAAAATATTTTTGTCTTCTTTGTTCAACTTTGGTAATTTGTAAGTATCTAAAAATCTGTCCATTTCTTCTGTGTTTTCCATTTTATTGGAGTACAGGTTCTCAAAGTAGGTATCAGTGATCTGGATTTCTTTTGGATCTGTTGTGACTTCGCCTTTTTCATTCCTGATTCCATGGATTTGAGCCTTTTCTTTCCTTTTTTTGATAAGATTAGCTAAGGGTTTATCGATTTTATTTATTCTTTCAAAAAATCAGCTCTGTGTTTCATTTATTTTTTGTATCATTTTCTTAGTTTCTATTGCATTGATTTCTGCTCGGATCTTTATAATTTCCTCTCTTGTTCGAGCTTTGGGTTTTTCTTGCTCTTGTTTTTCTAGGAGTCTAAGTTTCATCATTAGGTTGTTTACTTGAGCCTGCTCTGTTTTCCTAGTGTGGGCATTCAGTGCTATGAATTTTCTATGTAGAACTGCTTTCATTGTGTCCCATAGATTCCTATATGTTGTATTGGTATTTTCATTTATTTGTAAAAACTGTCTAATTTCTTCTGTAATTTCCTCTGTAATCCACTGATTGTTTAGGAGAGTGTTGTTCCATTTCCATGTGCTTGTGAAGTTACTGCAGTTTCTTGTGCTCTTGATCTCCAGCTTGATTGCACTATGATCTGATAACATACAGGGGATGACTCCAATTCTTTTGCATTTATTCAGACCTGTTCTGTGAGCCAATATGTGGTCTGTCTTGGAAAATGATCCATGTGCAGCCGAAAAGAATGTATATTCTGATTTTGTGGGGTGGAATACTCTATAAACATCTATTAAGTCTATGTGTTCCAAAGCTTGGTTCAATTCTATTATTTCATTGTTGATTTTCTGCCTAGATGATCTGTCAATTTGTGATAGTGGGGTATTTAAATACCCCACTAAAATTGTATTAGTGCTTATTTGGTTTTTCATGTTACTCAATATTTGTTTTATATAGTTGGGGGCATTTATATTTGGTGCATATATGTTTATGATTGTCAACTCTTCCTCTTGAATTGTTCCGTTTACATGGATGTAGTGTCCTTCTTTGTCTCTCTTAATGAGTTTTGGTTTGAAATTTACTTTATCTGAGAATAAGATTGCTACGCCTGCTTTTTTCTGAGCTCCTTACGCATGGAGAATTGTTTTCCATCCTTTCACTTTCAGTCTATGGGCTTCCTTTTGCACTAGGTGTGTTTCTTGTATACAACATATTGTTGGATTTTGTTTCTTAATCCATTCTGCCAGTCTATTTCTCTTGATTGGTGGTGAATTGAGGCCATGAACATTGATGGTTATAACTGATATGTTCTGACTTATTATTATCATGTTATTGTCCTTTTATTGACTCTTTTTACTTTTTCTCCCCTCTCCTTTTAGTTTCTTGCCTTGCCTATTTGATTTGGTCTGTTGGGCCTCATGATATTATGGCCTTCATTATCCTTTTCTAGGATATTGTTTAGAATTCCTTGTAGTGCTGGTTTGGTGTTCATGAAATTTCTCAGGTGTTCTTTGTCGTGGAAGTATCTTATTTTCCCATC